CAGGGATTGGGATTGGAATAAAACAGTTTGCTTGTTTTGTAATTGGGCATTCTACAAGAACCTATTAAAATGCCTTCTTTAATCAAGGCAGTGTTCGATACTGTGGATTTATAAAGATTAATCCGACAGAGATTCTACCTGAAAGAAGGACACAGCTCAGCAATTAAGCTCACAGCCTAGAATTAGCTAAAGTACCAGCAAATGTAGAATCATAGTTTGCTGTCTTTCATCAGGTTTCAGCAATCTATCCAAATTAATATAGGAAGCTAAAATTCATCCCATTCTTCCCAGGTCACATTTTCCCAGCCCTGACTCCTCCTTAACCTCTCTCCTCCTCTGTCAGATTTTACTTTTTTCCAATGTGAATTTTTTTGTGAGAATTTTCTAGTAGAGTGCTTTTTGGGCCTCTCAATGAGTTTAAAAATATATTTAAAAAATTGAGTGTTAGCATAAGATTTGACCATAGCTGTGCTCACAGTGTCACAAAGATGGACTCTTAGGTGAGATAATAGGAAGAAGAGAAGATAAATTAAAAAGTGGAAGAAAATGTTTTAACCATTGGAATAGAAGGATAACTCCAAATTGTGCGATGTGTGGCCATGAGAATTTTCTCGTTTCTTGCATGTTTTCTTTTGTATTCTCTTCTCCCACTTGCCCTCCCCACTTTGATGCTGGTAATTGAACCCAGGACCTCTTACATGCTAAGCAAATACTGTACCACTGAGCTATACCCCAGCCCCTCCCTCCCTCTTTTAATTCTACTCTTCTGTTTTTGCCACTGAAATATTTGTATATTATCCATGTATGTTAGTCTCTCAATGATTAACATTCTGTTATCTTGTCTTTCTTTTCCAGGTGCTCTGTAATGAATGTGTGCTTCCACAACTTTTTATTGGCAGGATAGACTTTTGTTTAGGGTGAGAGGTTTGTTGTAATATTTTCTGTGTTCATTATTGATTACTCATTAGCTCTTGCTTTGTTCTGCATTGCTACCTGGCATAACCAGAAATTAACTTAATTTGGAGTTTTCAGCAAGGAGACACATTCCCCTACTCTATTCCCAATTAAAATGGGGCGGGGGGAGGAGTGCTCTGGTGGAGAAGCTTGTTTTTTTAACAGTGTAGTTTTGAGAAGGTTTCAATAATGTGATAAGGTTGGGAGGCAAACATTGATCTAACTCAGACTGGTGAGTCACACCTGTCATCAGTGGAATGTAGACATATTAGATGTTTTAAACCAGACTACCATTTCTTCTTATTCATTGACTAGATAATCATAAATAGGTTTATACTTCTGTTAGATGACAGTTTGAATGTGGATATAAGATAGGAAATTTGGTTTTGTTATTGTTAGATATTCAGAATATTTGAAAATATTGGGTTCGAATATTTTTCAGGTTTTATTTTGAAGTAGTTTAAGTTATAGAAAGTTATAATAATAATATAAATAATTGCTACATACCAGAGTAAGATGCACCATTGTTGACATTTTACCATTTGTTCTGTCATTCACTCTGATTGTTTTTTTCTGAACCATTTGAGAATAAGTTACACGCATCATATCCCTTTACTATGTAAAAGTAATACTCCAATTTTAGATTTTTTCATATTAATGAAAAAGATTAAACTTTATTAATTAAAGCATTAGATCAGTGTTACATTCTGAACAAAGCAGTAACAAAGTGCAATACAAGCTAAAGTTAGTTAAATGTAATCCTCAAGAAAAATGCAAATACCAATAGTTAAAATGTACTCCTCAAGAAAATATTTTTCCCCCCAGTGCTGGGGATGGAACCAAGGGCCTCTGCATGATAGGTAGTCAACAAACAGATTCTAAGAACAAGGACATTCTCTTATACAACAATATTATCTTATCAAATTAAGGAAATGTAAACTGATGTTATCCAGTGAGGATTTCACTAGTTTTCCCAATAATGTTATTTAATAAAACTTTTTTTCAGTCCAACTTGGGATCATTCATTGCTTTTAGTTGTCACATCTCTTTACTGTTCTTTAATCAGGAATATTTCCTCAGTCTTTCTGGGTTTTTAATGACATTGACACTTTTAAAGAGAGTGATAAACCACTTATTTGTAGAATTTCCTCAATTTGGTTTCATCAGTGTGTTCATGACTAAATTTAGGAAATGTAGTTCTGACAGGAATATTACGTTTTAAGTGTGTGCTTCTCACTGTATCCTATTAGGAGGCACATTTCCTCTTGTCTCATTATCAGTTAATACTAAATTTGATCTGGTCAATGTGATATCTGCAAGTTCCTCCACTTAAAAGTTATTTTTCTTTTTGTAATCAGTAATTTGTGGAGAGGTACTTTGAGACTTGACATTTATCAATCCTCATCAAACTTTCATCCACAAAGTATTTAACACACTTTGGTAATTTTGCCTGAATCAGTTATTACTCTGATGGTATTAATTCAGATATTCCATTGCACAAGCTTCATAGTACTATAGGCAGTAACCTGTTCCTTTTGTTGTATTCCTTAGCATTAGGAAGTGTTGAGTATTTAACCAGAATACATTATTTTGGGTTTGTTTGACAGCTTTATTGAGATACAATTCAGATAGCTCATGTAAGTTCCTTTGTTTGTTTATTTATTTGTTTATTTAGCACTGCAAATTAAACTCAGGGGTGCTCGTCCACTGAGCTACAATTCCAGCACTTTTTATTTTTTATTTTGACACCAGGTATCCCTAAGTTGCCCAGGATAACATCATACTTGCTGTCCTCCTGCCTCAACTTCCCAAGTAGCTGGGATTACAGGTGTGCATCACCATGCCTGGCTATAATTCCGTTGAGAACTCTTGTGGCATGTGAAATAAACCAGCTTTTCTTTTCCTTCTTTAACATCTCTTTAAAATATGTCCCTTTGCCTTTTCTCTATATCACTCATATTGCATTAAGTTGTTTTTAATAAGAGATGGCTTTTCTGAATTTATAACCATTCTGTTATAAAACACTCATTTATCAGTTTCATATTTAGCATCTGATACCCTATTCCACATATTAATTCTAGATGTGATTTGATCTATCAATACAACAGATCACTATTTGCCTATAATCTAGCTTGATGCTAAAGTGTGCAGGTTTTAAAGATACATTGATCTGGCCAGGTCCCAACTATGTCACTTAACTAGCTCTGTGAACAAACTCTTCACAGTTTGATAATCTGTAAAGAGTTGGTAATTATACCAACTGCTTTTTAGGTGGAGTAAGGATTAAGTGTTCATGTAATTCTTTATATGAAAGATATTATATCAAGTTAACAACTTTTATGAGATGTTGAGTTCTTAAATCTTTTGTTTATATTTGCACAGTTTGAGTAGATTATAAAGAAATGTTTGTTATTTTGAATAAACTCTAAAACATTTGGTTACTTTTATAGCACAGCACATGTGTAGTATTTTCAGCATTCAATAATACTTTTTAATTATTGAAATTAGAGTGTTTAGATGCTATTTTTCCTGGTGTTTTTTTAAACCATGTTGCTAGTATAAACAGTACATTTACTATGTTCACAAAATCTTAAAGCTTTTCCCAAAATTTACTATAGAAATTAAGGTCAATATAAACACACATATCGAAGTCAATGTACATGTTGGGGAAAAGATATTATATGGTTTTTCTAGGACATTTTTATTGAAGTATACATGTATCTCCTAAAGTTTACTTACAATTGTAGGGAAAAATACAGGTGAAAAAGAAAAACTGTTGAAACATCTAAGACGAAAATTCTCCTTGTCTGTAGCTTTCTGATGCAGTTAATTTTGCACTAAAGTTTACATATAGTAATAGTGCTAAAATATTATTTAAAAATTAAATTGGCTAAGAATATAAACATTAAGGCTATTAAGAATAACCCATGACAAATTTTTAAATGGCATCTCATTTTTATTGGGGAGTATAACTTAAAAAAAAAAAGTGAATTCTTTAAGTTAATTAAAATCATTTTACAGTTTACTTTGGAAGTATGGACTATCATTGTGACTGTATAATATGTATTTGTTAATGGCAAAGAGAAATTATTTACTTGTGTATTTAGTTATTTGTTTGGTACTGGAAATTAAACCCAGGAGTGTTTTATCATTGAATTACATTCCCAGCCCTTTTTATTTTTTATTTTGAGAAGGTCTCACTAAGTTACTTAGGGCCCCTCTTAGTTGCTAAAGCTGGCCTCAAACTTGCGATCCTTCTGCCTCAGCCTCCTGAGTTGCTGGAGTTACTGGCATGTACCACCACACCAGGCTAGAAATAAAGATTTTTATCCTATTGATACTTAAATGTATTTTGTGTATGTGGTTCTGGGGATTGAACATGCTAAGCAAATGTTCTACCATTGAGCTTCGTCCCTAACCCTTACTTCCTAGTATTTAAATCTTTGGGAGTTTTTTTTGTTTATGATTTATTTTGAAAGTTCAATTTGATTAGGATAAATATTTCTTATGGAAATGTTTATTTTTAGAGAACCCTTCTACCACTTGATTAATCTGAAGCAATAATAGTACTATAGAAATTTGAATTTGTGGGGAAACGTACTTTTATAAAGCTTTATGGTAGATATGAAAAATATAGCTTCTTCTGTTAGGAGATATAATAGGGTTATACTTGGGACACTGAGACACTCTACTATTTATAAAGGTGTTATTAATTTTGTTGCTAATTATTAAAAAAACTAGCTAAGGTTTAGGAAAATAGAAAAATGTCTAGTTTTACTTTGTGTGCAAATGATTATAAGAAAAGCTCCTTGCCTACCAACCCTGTGGCTGGATATAAAAAAAAAATCCATGGGTTAAAGTTATATTTGTTACATTTTTACATTAGTGTCAAATACCAAATGGAATGTTTTATTTTTTCATTTTAACTCATCCATTTTTATATAGCTTTAATAATGAAAGCACTCCTTAAGATTTTAGATGATTAAAATGTGGTACCTGATAAATTTCAACTGTCTCAATTCTGTTTCATGTTAAATGTGTTACAGGAATGAATCTGAAGTCTGCTGCAGTAAAACACTGAAGGCTTTAAAATGTTTTCTTGCATAAAACTCAAACTTTAAGTAGCTGCTTATGAGAATAGGGAAGGCAGGAAGCTAATGTCTGTCTCAAGATACAGGACAGCTGTTTGCTCATCAACCTCAACTGTGTGAGTAGAGAATTAAGCCTGTAACCATGTAACTGGGCATAGAACTTAATTTTTTAAAATCTGAAGTGCTTGAAGATAAATACTTAAGTCAGCATAAGACATTTTTATAGGTCCATTTTTTTTCTGGTGGGCAGGTTACTAAGGGTGGGGTGGGTGGTAGATTTTTATTTGTAAATTATTTTTTGTGTATATGCAACTAATGTAATTAGTGACCATGCATCTTTTTCAAAATTATTCTAAGCATTGAAACCTGTATTATTAATTTTAGCAGAAGATTATCATTCTTTGGATTGCTGTTTTTATCCTTTTTTTTTTTTTTTAACCAGGGGCACTCTACCTCTACCACTTAGCTATCCCCAACCCTTTTTATTTTTTATTTTTGAGACAGGGCCTTGCTAAGTTGCCTAGGCTGGGCTGTATCCTTCTGCTTCAGCCTCTTAAGTAGCAGGGATGGGTGTGTATAAGTATTCATGGATGATTTAAGCCTTTCCAAATGAGTATTTTGACCAGCCAACCATAAAGATATATTTTAGGAATATGAAGTTTGATGTTAATGCAGAAAATTCTTCCTGAAAATAATTTAATAATACAATCAGAGAGAACATATACTTCAAAATAAAGGAACTCTTGTTCCCTAAATGCAATTGAAAGTTTTTTAAACTTGACAATTTTTACTTTTAAAAGTACTTTAAATAATATAAATCCTTATTGAAGAAATAGAGGGAAAATTTTTTTCTTTATTACTAAAAGCTATCATCTCAAGAATCCATTTGGGAAGGTGTCTGGGTTTCTCTACTTTTTTTTTTTTCTTCCTGGACTTTAGGAATGAGACTCTAAATTGAATTCCATTCCCCTTTAGAGCAGTGCATGGTCTATACAGATGAAATGTTTTTGTTTTTTTTAAATGTTGTATTAAGCAGAATGATGAGCATGTAAATAATAATTTACAAGATTTTGTTAACTGTTTAGTGAGGCATGGAGTAGAAGGGATGTTATTTGCATGGTGCATTTACACTTAAGTGAAACTCATCTTTACTATCACAAACTTTATCTTTAATATCACAAATGTGTCAACTGAAAGAAAATAAAAACAGATGCTCTTTAGAATCACTGAATGAGAAGACATTTAGATGCATATTAAGAATGTACATAAAATATTGATGTTTTATGAAAGTAGTCAAAGGGTATGTGGCAGCTGCATTGAAAAAGTCAAAGGTTTCTGTTTACCCCATCTTTGCCTCTCTGGATTGGTCAGTAGATACACAATACTATGTGAGTCTCCAGAGGTTATTTAGTTCCTAATCTTTCTGTAACCCTAAAAAAGAAATATTGTAATCTTCTTGTTTAATGATGGCAGGCCTCACTTTAATGAAGTTTTTTAAGGTCTGTAATATGAGATTTAACTCTCTGTTCACAGACATTTGGCATTTCACTTGTAAAGCCAAGTTTAATTTTGTGCTGCTGTTTTGCTTATAGTACTTACCAGTATTCTTCCCTCTCTTTTTTAAATAGTGTCAAAAATAAATAAAATTCAAGGTGAAAGAAGCCTTTGGAACATATTCATGAAACTTTGATTTTAAAATGAGATTAGACAGGATATACAATGGAAAAGTGAAAAGCTTTTATAGCTTTGGGACATTTGGGAGAAAATTGTATGATAGTAAATTGGTACCGAATTTCCCTTTTCTCCTTTTATCTCTTTTGAGATGATTCCTGTGTTCTATATTACTCTTCTATCAAGGGTGTGGAGGAAAATGCTATGAAGGTAGTTAACTGGGATAGAAGTACATGTGAGAGTGTGTGAGCATGAATATGTAAAACTCTTCCACTTTGACCCCTCTTGTCCTGTCCTACCGTGTACCTTAACACATAACTTAGACTTCTCATTCCTGGGCCCATTTCTATGACAGAATTTTACCTGTTTTTATAAATGAATTTTAGCTTCTTTTTCTGTTGTTTCTGCAGGATGACTAAAATGGAGTTCCTAAGCTGTGGTAAAGCTCAGGACATGGTTAAGTCAGGCTGCCTGGTTTCGGACCCTAGGTGTTCCTTTTAACAGCCAGATGATATTGAGCAAATCATGTAAAACTTACTGTGCCTCAGTTTTCTCATCTGTAAAATAAATACAGTAATAATTTACTACCTGATAGGGTTGTTGTAAACTTGTAAGCATCAACACTTACAAACTATGATTAATATTGTTAAACCTATTTTCTTTTAAGAGGAGGAATACTAGATTGCATTTTATAAATCCTCGAAGCAACAGATTATAATTAAGGCTTCAGGATTAAGAATCTGGAAATCACAAAGTAGGGTATTTTCAATTAAAGCATCTTGAGAAACTTCCTCAGCACAGTAGAAATTTTACTCCTCTGCACTCCTAATCTCTATTTGATACATGCATTAGTCCTATTTCACATCCTCCCTAGCCATGGGTGGCTAAATTGCTACTGTGTTGGACACTAGATAAAGTATATACATTAAGCATGATGTTTCTGTTTGTCTGGAACATGAAAAATGGACTCTTGTATTGGCTCTAACTCAATAAAAGAAGAGAAAGGGAAGCAAAAGTACTTTCTTCAGGAATTTTGGAGAAAGTTAGGTCTATTTTCTCTGGGTTTTAATAAAGTGATTTTTAGGCAGTTTGTAAAATTCATTGTAATGTAGTTAAAGTTATTTTAAGTAAAGTATTATTAACAGATAAGTTAAACAATATTGCATGTATTGATATCTGTCAGTGACTGCTTTTTGTATTAAAGTGAGCAGTCTGTGTGCTTTATGAAAATAAAAATTGTAATATTTAGATGTCAGAGTTCTTCCTAATCTAGAAGTACCTTTGAAAGTTGGTCATGTTTTATGTGATGTATTAGAATCTTTCTAGAAGGCTGAAATTTCAGTTAGAGGTCGTAATTGTAAGAGAATCTTAACTGTTTTGAATGATCCCATTAAGGGCTAAAAGTAGTCAATTTCACCATAATAATTCACTTTATGTTTAGAACTTTGTACATATTAAGGAAGTTACCAAGGGTAGAAACATGGTCTTACGTTCTCGAAGAAATTGCTGTTTACTAGATTTTAATCAGGAACCAGAACATATGGGAACAGAAATCCATTTTAACTGAAGAAAGAAAAAGGGAGAGTTATTTAAAAGAGTTATGTGTCTGGAATTCTGTCTTTTCCCTGCCCCAGTCCCTGATTGTAGGTTGCTTCATTGGGGCAGGTATTCACTAGGTCTAATTAACTTTTCTAGAGGGATTATCTCTGGTTCCAAAAGGACATCAAGAGCAAATAGGGTTGTTGTAAACTTGAGTAAGCATCAACACTTACAAACTTCTAACGGATTGTATTAGAAGGGAATGTTAGCAAGGAGGCAATGAGTAATTTTAACTTCTTAAGTTGTTAAAAAGAGGGGTGTGTGTGTGTGTGTGTGTGTGTGTGTGTGTAAGAGAGAGAGAGAGAGAGAGAGAGAGAATATGACCACCCTCCTATAGACTTGGTAAGGGCTTAGTTTATAATAATAATGATGAATTGACATTTTCAATGAGTGCTTACTAATATATATAATTGTGTAGTATCCTGATCCTATTTTTTAATTTAGGGGAAAAGTGAAGAATTTAGTGAGATAAATTAGTGATCTTTGGGTACTCAAGAGTATCTCAATTCAGAGGTGGGGTGGCTGCTTTAGTCACTGACCTAGTGACCTTGTTGTATTCTAAAAGGTTCATGAAAATATATGGACTCTACTTTAAGACTGGCTTACTGTTAATTGTTACGGGTGTGCTCTTTCTTTGGGGATTTCAGGGGTTGTGGGGGACTGGTGATTGAACTCAGGAACACTTGACCACTGAGCCAAATCCCTAGCCCTGTTTTGTATTTTATTTACAGACAGGGTCTCATTGAGTTGCTTAACACCCTGCCATTGCTAAGGCTGGCTTTGAACTCAATCCTCCTGTCTCAGTCTCCTGAGCCACTGGGATTACAAGTGTGCACCACTGCACCCGGCATGGATTTGCTCTTAATCAAGGACTTAAAATGAGTTTGAATTTTGAACTTGTTTCAAATTAAATCTCTTATGGAAAGTTGGTTTGTGAAAATACTAAAAACGAATGTATTACTTGAAGCAGAGATTTGTGGCCCAGTTTACCCAGTTCCCCCCCCCCCCTTTATGAAGGATTGCCTAAATGATGTATGTAAGTGTGTGCATATCCTTAGATGCTTTAAGATTTTATTTGTAAGTCTTGCTCCTTGTAAAGTGTTACCTGAAGTTGGCCATGATACTGTTGGTTTATATAGAAAAGTGGTACCAGAAACAACACTAGAAATTTATATTTTACCTTGCAGATATTATAGACCATATCCATATTGTATTCTACCAATGAACACTTAGGTGAAGTGTTGTTCTGCTACTTAGGTCAAGATTTAATTGTATTCCTCCTAAATAATTGATTTTGTTGTTCTTAGAATATTGTGCCTTCTAACCAGTCATATCTGTCTTTGTGTTAGATGCTAAGAGGAATAACATCAGCTGAATAGCTTCTAATTATCAAATAGGCCCCTATGGGCATATTACATTTTGCTTATTGACAATATTTCTAATATCTTTTTTACCATTTTCCCTTGGGTTGACCATTTTTACTGACTTTTGATGTTGTCATGCAGCATGCATTTTAAAGTCACTTTGAATTCTTTGCAGAACAATATGAGGTATATAAAAATGATAGTATGTTGTAGAGGCACTTGTTGAGCTCTTCTTCCTGTTTTAGGTGATGGGATTTCCTCTTGCCTGCAGGTTTAAATGTAGAATCCTTATCATGGATACTAAACTTTCATGATGTGGCTTTATTCCGTTTCTAGGATCATTTCTTAACCATACTATATTCCAAGCATACAGAATTCTCCTCAGATAGACTATATTTACACGTCACCTAATGATTGGGATATGTTCTGAGAAATGAGTTTTTGGACACTTTCACCATTCAGCACGAGCAAAATGTACTCAC